GGTGGCCATTTTGGAACCGCCGATCAGCTGTTAGAAAAACATCGCAATGCGAAGATCGGTAAGCAAAACGCTTACCGATCATCACAATGCGATGTTTTGACCATTAAAACATTGCAGTGCGATCGCATTAGCGATCTAAAAAAATAGATCGCTATGCGGATTCATCGTTAAACGCTGCGCTCGTTATGCGAGGCACCACTGTATACAAATATACCCTCCCATTAGCTGTAACAATTGCCTGCCCAAGTTACCTCTCTCCACTTTTGGGAAACACTCCTTTTGGGAAAAACTCCTTCAGAGAACGCCTATTCCCTTTATCAAATACCTTAGCCATTTCCCAATCTAAGGACCAGTGTCAACCTTTCAATCCCCAAAAGCTCCTAGTATGAGTCTCTAAGTCTGGAATGTCCGCTTCTCCACCATTAACTGTACCCAAATATATATTGTGAATTTCCCAGTTAAAGGGTTCAACAGATACTAATGAAGAAACAAACAGATTAATCTTAATTATTCTTAACAGTTAACTGAAAATAAGACCGTATCTGAAAATAAGCCTTAGGATGATTTTCATGATGCTTGTAATATAAGCCCTCCCCCTCAAAAAATAAGCCACAGTTAAGTGAAACCCCGCCCTCCACCCCTGTGCAGCAATCAGAAGAAGATGACATGACTGTGTTTGAATAAATGTAGATTGTTGTGTATGAAAAAATAAACATTCCCTGAAAATAAGTCCTAATGCATTTTTGGAGCAAAACTTAAGACTCTGTCTTATTTTTGGGAATACACAGCATATATTCATTCACTCATTCATACTTACCAAGTCATAAGTGATCAAACTGTGCCCAGGGTGTTGGAACGACTTGACAGCCTGCTTAGGAGTCAAGCAGCGTAGCTTTCCAATTCATCATCAGCTGTTCCTCCTAGACTCAGTTTTACTGATGCACCCAAGTAAAATTTCCACTCTGCGTCTTCCTACTCATCCCACAGCCATCACATTCTTCACTCTTCTCCCCCTTTATCTCTTGAATTCATTTTAGTTCAGGGAGTTTCCTTCAAATGTTATGTTATCATCAAAGGTCTGCTTCACCGGATGCTTTTTCTTCACTATCAGCAGGCCAAGAAGTCCTTGTCCTGTTTAGGAGCTGGTGTCTTCAGATATAATCCCACTTATTCTTCCCATGCACTCAATACATGTGTTAATATACTAAATCAATGGATATATTCAGTCACTAAAGGAGAGAAAGCATATAAATAGGAGGTGTATGGAAAAACCTTCAGTGGATATTTACGGAAACTACAAAATGTATGGAATATACAAAGTACTTAATGAACAGCCATGCTCTTTTAATTCATGAAATAACTGACTTATAGGAGAGGCCCTAAAAATGCTCAGGAGAGATTCATTTGGAGTGAAACTCTTATTTACATTTTTTAAAAAATCACAATGGGGAGAAATCCTTTAGTGCATGAAATACAGAAAGATTGTCACCAAAAGTAATAGCCTTTCTCAATGAGAAAGAGCACGCCCAGTGGCAAAATCACACAATTTGAAGGGAACCAGACTTTTATTAAATGTTGAAAGAGTAACTTTAATTTTAGTACAGTGGTGCCCCGCATAGCGACAATAATCCGTTCCGGATAAATCGTCGCTATCCAGAAACGTCGCTATACGGAAATAAAACCCCCATAGGAATGCATTAAACTCTGTTGGGGGATAAACTCACCGCTAAGCGGGAATCCTCCATACGCCATTTTTGCCACCTCGGTAAGCGAGGAATCAGCGTGAAAACACATAGCGAGCGCCTTTTGCCGCCTCGGTAAGCGAGGAATCAGCGCGAAAACGCTGTGGGTGCCCATTTTGTTGATCCAGCGGCCATTTTGGAAGCGCCGATCAGCTGTTTTAAAACATCGCAGTGCGAAGATCAGTAAGCGAAACGCTTACCAGTCATCGCAATGCAATGTTTTCCCTATTTGGACATCACAATGCGTTCGCTTTTGCGATCGCAAAATCTGCATCACTATGCGGATGCGTCGTTAAACGGGGTGCTCGTTATGTGAGGCACCACTGTATATGGAAAGTGTTAATGCTTAAATATGCAGAAAGTGGGATGGTATTTCATTCACGGAGAAAATGTACAGTGGTGCCCCGCATAGTGAGCGCCACGGTTAATGACGAATCCGCATAGCGATTTGGGGGGTTTTTTTTAGCGAGCGCCTCGGTTAACGACGAATTCGCATAGCGATTTGGGTTTTTTTGGCCAAAAATATTTTTAATGGCCAAAAATCGCATTGCGATTATTGGTAAGCGTTTTGCTTACCGATCTTCGCATTGCGATGTTTTAAAAACAGCTGATCGGCGGTTCCAAAATGGCTGCCGGAAGAAAAAATGGCCACCCGGGGTTTTTTTGGCCAAAAAATGTTTTTAATGGCCAAAAATTGCATTGCGATTATGAGTAATATTATTATTTATTGGACTTATATACCGCGTTCGCTTACCAATTTCCACATTGCGATGTTTAAAAAACAGCTGATCAGCAGTTCAGAAATGATCGCCAGAAAAAATAGCCGCCCGCAGCGTTTTCGTGCCCTTTCCTCGCTTACCAGGCAGCAAAAATGGCAGCCGGATGGAGGATTTCTGCATAGCGGTGAGTTTTTTCCCCATAGGAACGCATTAAATGGAGCTTAATGCGTTCCTATTGGGTTTTTCGTTCCATATAGTGACGATTCTGGATAGCGATGATTTTCCTGGAACGGATTATCGTCACTATGTGGGGCACCACTGTATTTGACATCATAGAAAGGACATCAGAGAGAATCAGAAGTGGTGGATGGGGCTTCAGTAGATGTTTGCTAGGAGAATTAGGTTGCCACGTTCTTTTTCTTCTTTCAGGAGAAGCCAGTCTAAATGGGCAAACTAAAGTTTTTGTTGGAAACGTGTTCTGGTGTAGAACTGTATTCTCAGAATGAATTTGGGGGAAAGGAAAGAATAGAAAATCTATATTACAGAGATCTATTTCAATTTTATAAAAGTAGACAGTAGACAACAGACTCATGTGTCTGCAGCTATTGTATTTAAGTGGGTGAAAAAACTGATGAGTGTGCGTTTGTGTATGGGGGTTATCCCCAGGGGTTGTGGAACCAACTGTGCAATTTAACAAACCACACAGGAAACCCCAGAACTGAATGTGAAACCGTGTCCATGGAACTGCTTTCTGGACATGACGTTCCTCTCAGTGCCACAACAGCTCCTCCCACATTTCATAAAGCAGGTGTAGCTACATAATTGAGATTTCAACCAACAAATGGGTGGATCACATGCCACAGTGATCAGTAGATATCATAAACTAGGATTGTTATCTTAGATGTGTAATATGATTGAACAGATTGAGCTAAATCTTGAGCATGGCTCACAGGTCAAACTGGACATGAGAGGGACTGAGTTAGAGGCAGAAGGTGTCAGAAGCGACCCCGTATTTGGAATATAATAAACATTGCAGAGTGATCTTTAGCAGTTTCCTAACACACACTCTTTCTAACTCCAGAATTTCAGTGTCTCAATCTCAACAGGCCCTAGAACCTTGATCTAGTAAACCTTGAGTTTGTTTCCACTTATGGTGCTATGTGTCAACTTTTGTGCCCCTAATCTCATTAAGAAAGCCCACTTCATTGGGACAGTTAGAACTGTTGTGAAAAATCACGTGGTCAGGAGAACTTTAAAAATCAATACAGAGCCGAGTTTGAGTTCACAATCTACTGACAAGAATGAGATCAGTCCCATAATTGACCCATAATAAAGGAGCAGACGTCCAGAGCAGAAGACTAACCTTTTTATGGGGACGTC